ATCCCAGGTCCTTGGGAAGGACTCGATAGGTGGACAAAAATGCCAAATCCAGTCTAAACATCTGGCTGACTATGCGACCAACTATAATAATTTTTTTTCCTGGACAAGCTCCCTTATCTTTAACAGTCTGCTTCCAGAGCTGCCTGCAAGCTTGTAAAATATAACCAGCCACCAAAGTTGGCCCAGATGCAGGAGAGGGAAGCTTTGTGATCAGGATTTCCTGCATTTTTTTTTTTTAAAGAATGAAGCAAAACATTTTAGGAATGATTGGATTGGATCGCTTGTGTTGCTGCAGGAAGAGGAGGGCTTGGTCTTTGTTCCATTTTTAAAATTTTCCAGTACTTGTCCACTGGGGAAAACTGTTGATTAGTTGGAAGGAAGGACTTGAATCAAAACATTGTGCTTGCGTGGAGGAAGAATTAGCTTCTTTTGGTTCGGTGCTGGTGTTCTTACTTAAAGATGGGAGCCCGCACGGTAGCCACATTAAAAAAAAATGGTGGAAGTTTCTGATTTTAGATTGCTGTATATTTGGTTGACCTTTGGCCATATGCAGTAGGGGGTCCTTTTTAGCCATCGATTCTAGCCAGCCTCTAGAAATCTGAGCTTTCAGGTAAAGCAGCATCTCCAGGGATGATGAATCCAGGAACATAAATTTTATGAAATTGACAACTACTCCATACAACCCCTATGGATTGAATTCCAAAGACCCACTCAAATTTTTGAGAGCCCAAAGAGTAATTACTCTCCCCCCGACTTGTATCTCATAAAACTAATTGTAATTGTAAGAAAATCCTAGTGAGTACCCAGAAACATTCCTTTATTAATGTATTTGCTTCAGTTTATATGTTGCTCATTCCCAAAGATTCTGAGCATACGAAAGAGAAGCAATAACTTCCAGGAGTCTGTTCCATGGCTGACAGCTCTTACTGTTAGAAAATTGTTTCTGATGTCCAACTCAGATCTTTTTTGTAATTTAAAGCCAACCTGTCTTCTGGAACAACTCAACAATTCTGCCCCATCTTCTATATGAATTTACACATTGTACATGAACATAGAAGGTCCTGAATATTGAGTTCATAATTTTAGCATTTTACATATGGACATAAATGTTTTGAACTTAGCTTGGAAACCGGTGTGATGTTACATGTTTTTTTAGGCTCAATAAAAATGTAATGATTGTTTTTTTTTCACTAGCTGGAGCTTCTAAGGAATCCTCAAAGATAGTTTCATGTTATAAACAATGTTGAAGGTGAATAGGCAAGCTATTTTTTCCATACCATCAGAACTCAGCAGCAGTGAATGAAAGCAACTCAGTATGTAGTTTAGACTGAATGAAAAAAGATATGCCTCATTAATTTGAAATAAAAGTTATTTTCTGTCATTGTAATCTGTAGTTACTCTGCATGATAGCAAGAAACTCAGCTGTAAAATCATTGTCATTATACTGTCAACTTAGTTTATTTGAATGTATGCTCAAGGTTTTTAATGCTGAAAGTGTATGCATTGTAACTTTCAACTTGAAGTTTGCTTTAAGCCAGTTTTCAAGATGCTGGGCCATTAGAAAATATGAAGTTATTTTACTGTAGTATTTTCTCTTGAGTCCATTTTACTGTTGACATGAAATGACATGAAATCTCATATGCGGTCACTCTTATTATAGGATCACCATCAAATATTTCCACATCTGTATCAGTTTCTGATTATGTCTCCCCTTATCCCCACCCAGGACATTTCCCATGTGCTAACCAGTGTCTTTAAGAACTTATATACTTCAGAGGTGATAGCAGCCGATATGGTGGATAATATGATCAAATCCCGTGGAGGAAAAAATCCCCATCATGAATACTTTGTGGAAGAGTTGCGAAAGGTAAAGTTTCCACTCAGCTCTAGTCAGAAAAACGTATTAGTTGAATGTGGTGATTTAAGCTTGTAGAATGGTCTGCTTTATGGCTGTTCAGAATTGAATTACTTTGGTAACTATAGGATGGATGGAGGGATGGATGGATGGATGGATGAGAGAGAGAGAGAGATCCATCCATCCATCCATCCATCC